CCCCCAAGCCCTTGCAAAGTGAACGAAATAATGTATTATTTCATTAGTTCCCGGGGGGGGGGATGGTACCAAGGCGCCCAAGAGCGAAGGGTGACGTAAACAACTCGACACCAAGGATCCCAAGAGCGAGCGGCAACGCAACAATCTCCACTGGCATCGTCAGAAAAACACTCGCCAGTGTTGCCCATTGCTGGCCCCCTCCCCCCCGACCTCCTTATCACCCGCAGGGTGGTCGTCTAGGTGTGTGTGTATATATATATGTCTATACATGGATATGGTTTTCTGGATCCGATTCTCTGGATGTGACCCTCTGGCCTGATTGTCTGGATCTGGTTCTCTGGCTGTGATGTATTGGATCTGTTTCTGGACCTGAATCATTATATCAAAATCCGGATCTGATTCTTTGGATCTGCTCTGAATCAAATTCGAGTAACAGAACCATGTCATAATTATTGTTAAAGAGTATAGGGTTAGGTAGATACGTTCAACATTTATCTAACGTCATCTCAGATAAGCAAATGTTACTTGATCTTGATATGGCTTTCTAGTTTCCTGAAGTTGATTCAGTTTTTGTTTGTTTGTTACTGTTTTGTTTTTGGTCCTACATCTACGTATGTATAGATTCGTTATATATAGTTGTAAAGACATGCATTTACAGTTATAGTTTTTTTCCAATTGTATATAGATTTTCTCACTTTGGTTAACCATATCTGAATTCTCATTAGTATATCCAGATTTTTGTACAATGTGTCGACATACATTTGAATCCGAAAATTGCTATCATTCTCTGTACACTTCATACAATATTACCCAGCTTTATTTTAGATGTATTCCAATGTGTCCAATTTTGTCCAACTATATTCGGTGTTGAAAGTCCCTCTCATTCTATGTAACCGCTTGTTTATGGTTCTAAACATATCTAGACTTTTACCATACTTTATGTAATGTTACCGAACGGTGCTTTTTTATGCAAATAACTTTACCCCCCCCCGATTATACTTTTGATTTTACTAGGGTCTTCTCATTCGATTTACCTGACTAAAAATTCATTCGACATGTATTGAAATGTTTCCCAACTAATCTGACTTTAGTGATGCTTATGTTTTTTTTCTCCCCTAAAACCGTATATCGGTTTGTCGAAACTGATTTGCCAGCATCCACCTTCTGTTTTCTTCAATGTGGCTTCTCATTCTCCGGGTCTGCTTACAGCTCTTCGGTCGTTACATATATATATATAGGGATACGATTTTTTGACTATGATACTATGGATCTGCTTCTTTGGATCTGATTCTCTGAATCTGATTCTTTGGATCAGATTCTGGATCAGAGTCATTCTCATTTTCTGGATAGGGTTCCCAGGATCTAGTTTCTGTTCTTCTTATTAATTTTCGTCCTATTCTCATGTTCGTCGTATTCCTAATTCCCAATCCGATTCCCACTCCCATTCCTAGAATTTATTATTGATCATTATTCGCATTGGTTTTCTTATTACTATTCTCAGTTGTATACATGATATCCGGTTCATCGTAAAACGCATTTTTTAAACAAAAATATATGTATTCGTATTCTTGTTCTTGGATTGTTTTTGGTTTCTTAGTTTTTTTTGTTAGTCGTGCTGTTGTCATTCTTGTCGCTCTGAATATCATCTCGTTCTGTTTGTTTTTCCATATAGTCCTATTTTCCTATTTTGTTCTTTCGTAGTATACGTATGCTCATGTTTGTTATCATCATTTTCCATGTTCACAGTCATATTCTTATCATGTTCAATGCTTCCATTATCTGACGTTCTCTATGTATTTTATGTGTCTGTTCTTTGCTCTTGTTCATTTTATCATTCGTGTTCTCATTATCATTGTTATTATTTTTAGTCGCGTTCTTAGTAGTACTCGTATTATATATATTTGACTCTTCGGAATAGTCATTGTCCGCGTGAGAGGAGGAGGAGGAGGAGGAGGAAGAGGAAGAGGAGGAGGAAGAGGAAGAGGAGGAGGAAAAGGAGGACGAGGAGGAGGAGGAGGAAGAGGAGGAGGAGGAAGAGGAGGAGGAGGACGAGGAGGACGAGGAGGACGAGGAAGAGGAAGAGGAGGAGGAGGAGGATGAGGAGGAGGAGAAGGAGGAGTAGGAGGAAAAGGGGGAGGGGGAGGAGCAGGAGCAAGAGGGGGAGGAGGAGGGGGAGGAGGAGGAGGAGGAGGAGGCGGAGGAGGAGGAGGAGGAGGAAGAGGAGGAGGAGGAGGAGGAGGAGGAAGAGCAGGAGGAGGAGGAGGAGGAGGAGGAGGGGGGATGATGATGATGGTGGTGATGATCGATTCTTCCAGATTCTTCCGAATTGTCCCAGATTCTTCCAGATTCTTCTGCATTCTCCCAGACGCCATCGGGTTCTCGCAGATTTTTGCGGATAGTCCGACAAGCGCCCAAGCGTCGAGCGCCGGCAAGATCTTAGTGAGTCGTAATCTTTCCGCTTCGGTTCGTTTCTGTTCGGTTCGTCACATGCTTTGCTTCTGGTTCGGTCCGGTTCCTGTGTCTGCCAGATCGCCTAGTTGACCGCCCAGCGAGTTCTGTCTTCGTCGAGGGGTCACGGGGGTCACGGGGGCCCCGCGGGGGAGGGGTCACAGGGGTCCCGCGGGGGGGGTGGGGTCACGGGGGTCACGGGGGATCCCGCGGGGGAGGGGTCGCACGGGTCACGGGGGCCCCGCTGGGGAGGGGTGAAGGGGCACACGGGGGCACCGCGGGGGAGGGGTCACAGGGGTCACGGGGTCCCGCGGGGTAGGGGTCACGGGGGTCACGGAGGGGAGGGATCAGGGGGGTCACAGGGGTCACGGAGATCGCGGGGGGGAGGGGTCACAGCGGTCACGGGGGAGTCACAGGGGTCACGGGGGGCTCCGCGGGGGAGTGGTCACAGGGGTCATTGGGGTCCCGCGGGGGAGGGGTCACGGGGGTCACGGGGGCTTCTGGGCGTTATAGCGATTCCTGGAGGCTTCGACGACGACTCGTCGAGTTGACGTGGAGGTTCGTTCGTTCCGGTTCAGTCCGGTCTCGTTTTCGGTTCATTTTGGTTCGGTTGTTCCGTTTCGGTTCGGTTCGGCATCAAAATCGAGGCTGGTTTTGTTCGGTTCGAGCATCGAAGACGATCGACCGGTTCGGTTTGTTTCGGCCCGTGTTGAAAGTACGCAGCACGCCGCAAGTGCGGATAAGAGTGAGGGGGCGGGGGCGGGCGACGCGGGCGTCGAGCTGGCGGACCTCGTGGCCATCACCTTTCTTGTCGATGGCGCCCTCCTCCTCCTCCTCCTGCTCCTGCTCCTCCTCCTCGTCCTTTTCCTCGTCCGCGTCCTCGTCCTCATCGTCGTCGTCGTGCTCTGACAAGTTCAGCGCGGGGGGGTATCTGGTGGGCCACCCGGAACGAATGCAAAAACAGCCCGCCGCAGGCGCCGCATGTTTGGCTTGTTCAGTGAACGTAGTTTGGGTCGCGGGTGGGTGGTGGGCGCCGAAGTTTTGGCTTGTTCAGTGAACGTAGTTTGGGTAGCGGGTGGGTCGCGGGCTCCTTACCTCCACCTGGAAGGAATTCAACAACAGCCCGCCGCAGGCGCCGACAATTTTGATTTGTAGACTGAACGCAGTTTGGGTTGCGGGTGGTTCGCAGGTTTTCCACTTGGAACGGATGCAAAAGAAGCCCGCCGCAGGCGCCGAAAATTTTGCGTGTGTCGCGGGGTGGGTCGCGGGTGGGTCGCAGTTTCTCCAGCTGGAACGAATGCAAAAAAAACCCGCCGCAGGCGCCGAAAATTGTGTGTGCGTCGCGGGGTGGGTCGCGGGTAGGTCGCGAGTGGGTCGCGGTGGGTCGCGGGTGGGTTGCGGTGGGTCGCGGGTGGGCGGGGTGGGTCGCGGGGGGTCGCGGGTGGGTCGCGGTGGGTCGCGGGTGGGGGGGGGTCTCGCGGATGGGTCGCCGGGTTGGTCGCGGGGTGGGTCGCGGGCGGGTCGCGGGATGGGTCGCGGGTGGGTCGCGGGTGGGTCGCGGGTGGGTCGCGGGGTGGGTCGCGGGTGGGTCGCTGGCTGGGTCGCGGGGTGGGTCGCGGCTGGGTCGCGTGATGGGTCGCGGGTGGGTCGCGGGGCGGGTCGCGGGTGGGACGACGACAACCGCAAATAACAAACAACAACAACACCAACAACAACAACAACAACACCACCACCATCAACAACAACAACAACATCACCAACAACAACATCACCAACAACATCAACAACAACATCAACAACAACATCAACAACAACCACAACAACAATAACAGCATCAACAACAACCGCACCATCACCAACCACAACAACAATACCATCAACAACATCAGCAACAGCAACAACACCACCACCAACAGCAACAAAACCATGAACAACAACAACAAAGCCACTACTAATACGAATACTAGTACTGATGATAATAATAATATTATTAGTAATAGTAATAATACTAATAATAATACGGAGAGACATAATAGTAGTAATATTAATACCAACAGCAACACCACCAAGAGCAGCAACATCAACAACACCAACAACAACGACATCAACAACAACATCAACAACAACAGCAACAGCAACCGCAACATCACCACCACCACCACCAACAACACCAACAACAACAGCAACAGCAACAACAACAACGACAACGAACATCCGCATCGCGGCATTCCACTTCAGCCTTGCACCCAGGGACAGTGAATGACCGTTCGGTTCAGCCCCCTCACTCTGATTACCAGTTCACGCCTGTTCGGTTCGTCCCGATTTGGTTCGGGCGGTTTGATTCGGTTCCAGAACCTTCATGAAACTTTCAGCTATGGGCAGCAATTCTGTGGTTATTCACGGTGGCTTCGAGGGGTCTTAACAATCCTTGTGGTTTGGTGGTTTTCGTTTGGATTTTGTCGGATTAGTCGACGTCTGGGCGAAATTCGGACGAAGCCTGGGCGACATCTGGATGACATCTGGACGAAATCTAGACGAAATGTGGTTGAAATCGGGTCGAAGTCATGTTCTTGGGAGAGCCGCGGAGGTCCACAGAGGCTCCCATGAAGGCTCACCCAAAATCCGTAACCATTTTGGCTCAAGACGAAGTGTGGGCACTGGTCCTCCGCCAGTCCTCTGGCCAAGAGACTTCTCAAGCTCGGCGAGATGCGCGAGCTCGTTCACATCCAGGGCGGCCAGTGCGGTAACCAGATAGGAGCCAAATTCTGGGAGGTAATTTCAGATGAGCACGGGATCGACCCCACGGGCACCTACCACGGCGACTCCGACCTCCAGCTTGAGCGGATCAACGTCTACTACAACGAGGCCACGGGCGGGCGCTACGTGCCCAGGGCGGTTCTCATGGATCTCGAGCCTGGCACCATGGACAGCGTCCGCGCGGGGCCGTTCGGACAGTTGTTCCGGCCGGACAATTTCGTATTCGGCCAGACAGGGGCTGGAAATAATTGGGCGAAAGGACATTACACCGAAGGAGCCGAGCTGATCGATAGCGTCCTCGACGTCGTCCGCAAGGAGGCTGAGGGCTGCGACTGCCTGCAAGGTTTCCAAATGTGTCACTCCTTGGGAGGAGGCACAGGCGCTGGGATGGGAACCCTGCTGATCTCCAAGGTCCGCGAGGAGTATCCAGATCGTATCATGGAGACTTTCAGTATTATCCCCAGTCCAAAAGTTTCGGATACCGTCGTGGAGCCGTACAACGCCGTCCTTTCTTTCCACCAGCTCGTGGAGAACGCGGACGAATGTTTTCTGTTGGATAACGAGGCGCTTTATGATATTTGTTTCAGGACGTTGAAGCTGACGACTCCGACGTACGGGGACCTGAACCACCTCGTGAGTGCGGCGATCAGTGGCGTGACCACGTGCCTGCGTTTCCCGGGGCAGCTCAACTGTGATTTGCGCAAGATCGCCGTGAATCTGATCCCGTTCCCGCGCCTGCACTTCTTCATGACTGGTTTCGCGCCGCTCACGAGCAGGGGTTCCCAGCAGTACAGAGCCCTGACAGTCCCTGAGCTGACCCAGCAAATGTTTGATGCGAAAAATATGATGTGCGCGGCAGACCCACGTCACGGTCGCTACTTGACCGCCGCGGCGCTCTTCCGCGGTCGCATGTCCACGAAGGAAGTTGACGAGCAGATGTTGAATGTGCAAAATAAGAATTCGTCGTATTTCGTCGAGTGGATCCCGAACAATATCAAAGCGTCAGTTTGCGACATCCCACCGAAGGGATTGAAGATGGCGGTGGCCTTTGCCGGCAATTCTACCGCTATTCAAGAAATGTTTAAGCGTGTAGCAGAATATTTCACTGCCATGTTCCGGCGCAAGGCGTTCCTTCATTGGTACACAGGGGAGGGCATGGACGAGATGGAGTTCACCGAGGCCGAAAGTAACATGAACGACCTGGTTTCCGAGTACCAGCAGTACCAGGACGCCACCGCCGAGGAGGAGGGCGAGTTCGACGAAGAAGAGGATGGCGAGCAGTGATGGCGTCATTGACTTGCTGTGGCCAGCCTCCGAGGTCGGGCAACGGATGTGTGAGCAAATCAGTGCTGATGAGCCGTCGGCCAAGTACACATTTATGCATGTTGAGCGGCCGTTTCCCCGCTCACCGCGAGAATTCGCCTCGAGAGGACAGGCCAGACTACCGAACGGTCTTTGCGGAAAAAATGAAGGCTCACCCAACAGCAACCACGGGGCCTCGAACTCGCCCCCCCCGTCATGCGTAGATGCTCGCCCGTGCTGGGTGCTGCCCAGCGCATATATGTACCCGTTTTGCTGCGCCCTTGACCTGAGAGGTCCAGCGGAGTGGCGTCATGCGTACGTATGTCTACATGAGATCCTACCCTCCCTCGGTGCGGCCATGCCATGCTCGCAACTGTCGGCGATTTGGGCCCTGGGGGTCCAACGGAATTGCGTCATACGCAGATCCAAACGAGACCTCGCCCTCCCTGGTTGCTGCGAGGGGTGCGTCTGTCGCTACCTTGCTGCGCCCCTGGGGGGTCCAGCGGAGTGGCGTCGTGCGCAGATCCAAATGGGACCTTGCCTTCCCTGGGTGTTTCGCCTCTGAGGGTACCCAGAGGCTCAGCAAAGTGGCGTCATGCGCGGATCAAAATGAGATCTCGCGCATCTGTCGCCACTTTGCTGCCCTCCTGGGGAGCCCAGCGCGAGGGATTCCTGCACACATTCATGACGTGATGGTGCCTTCTGGTAACGTGTATGTGTGCTGGATGGGTCAGGTGCGTCCCCTGGTGTTCTTCCCTGCCGCTCTCCGTGAGCCCTGTGCGTGCACGTGGTGCTCTCGTTTTTCCCAACCATCCTGTGGTGTTGGGTCCTCGTTTTGAAGAGACGGTCCCCGCGTTCCTTCTCCTTCTCCTCCTCCTCCTCCTCGCCCTCCTCCCTCCAGGGTTCGCATGCCCCCCCACCACCCATTTCGGCACACCCCTCACACGTTTCGTGGCCCCATAGGGAGCTCCACCGAAGGCCCCAGTGGCAGGGTTCGCATGCTTCCCCACCACCCATTTCGGCACACCCCTCACACGTTTCGTGGCCCCATAGGGAGCTCCACCGAAGGCCCCAGTGGCTGCGTTCGCATGCCTCCCCACCACCCATTTCGGCACACCCCTCACACGTTTCGTGGCCCCATAGGGAGCTCCACCGAAGGCCCCAGTGGCTGCGTTCGCATGCCTCCCCACCACCCATTTCGGCACACCCCTCACACGTTTCGTGGCCCCATAGGGAGCTCCACCGAAGGCCCCAGTGGCTGCGTTCGCATGCCTCCCCACCACCCATTTCGGCACACCCCTCACACGTTTCGTGGCCCCATAGGGAGCTCCACCGAAGGCCCCAGTGGCTGCGTTCGCATGCCTCCCCACCACCCATTTCGGCACACCCCTCACACGTTTCGTGGCCCCATAGGGAGCTCCACCGAAGGCCCCAGTGGCAGGGTCGCATGCCTTCCCACCACCCATTTCGGCACACCCCTCACACGTTTCGTGGCCCCATAGGGAGCTCCACCGAAGGCCCCAGTGGCAGGGTTCGCATGCCTCCCCACCACCCATTTCGGCACACCCCTCACACGTTTCGTGGCCCCATAGGGAGCTCCACCGAAGGCCCCAGTGGCAGGGTTCGCATGCCTCCCCACCACCCATTTCGGCACACCCCTCACACGTTTCGTGGCCCCATAGGGAGCTCCACCGAAGGCCCCAGTGGCAGGGTTCGCATGCCTCCCCACCACCCATTTCGGCACACCCCTCACACGTTTCGTGGCCCCATAGGGAGCTCCACCGAAGGCCCCAGTGGCAGGGTCCGCATGCCTCCCCACCACCCATTTCGGCACACCCCTCACACGTTTCGTGGCCCCATAGGGAGCTCCACCGAAGGCCCCAGTGGCAGGGTCCGCATGCCTCCCCACCACCCATTTCGGCACACCCCTCACACGTTTCGTGGCCCCATAGGGAGCTCCACCGAAGGCCCCAGTGGCCTGGTTCGTATGCCTCCCCAACACCCATTTCGGCACATCCCTCACACGTTTCGTGGCCCCATGGGGATTTCCACTGAAGGCCCCAGTGACTGGGTTCGCATGCGCCCCCACACCCATTTCGGCACACCCCTCACACGTTTCGTGGCACCATAGGGAGCTCCACCGAAGGCCCCAGTGGCTGCGTTCGCATGCCGCCCCCACACCAATTTCGGCACACCCCTCACACGTTTCGTGGCCCCACAGGGAGCTCCACCGAAGGCCCCAGTGGCTGCGTTCGCATGCCGCCCCCACACCAACTTCGGTGCACCCCTCACACGTTTCGTGGCCCCATAAGGGGCTCCACCGAAGGCCCCAGTGGCAACATTCGCATGCCGCCCCCACACCCATTTCGGCACACCCCTCAAACGGTTCGTGGCCCCATAGGGAGATCCACCGAAGACGGTACTCACACCAGCATTACTCACAATTGCATATGGTTGGGTCCTTCGCCAGGCTAATTTGTCACTCGCCCCTTTCCTCCTCTGCTTCCCCTCCGTGCACGGCGGGGAAACAGAGGTGCCTGGGACAGGGCGGATGGTGCGGGGAGAGGGGCAGCGGCGGTGATGGAGGAGGGCGCGGCGGGAACCCTGAGCTCGAGGGACGACTCGGCAGGGCAGGTGTCGCCGAATGGCTCGGCCTCACCGCTGCGAGACTGGCCGCTGTTCTACAGCAACGGGCTGAACAGAGAGAAATTCAGGCCTGGCCCGCTTGAGGAACAGGAGGAGGAAGTGGAGGGGGAGGCCGAGCCTGGTAAGAGGAAATGCTCATTGGCTGCATTCAGACTCGCGGGGCATGATCAGGAGGAGCTAGTACTATTGCATTCGGACTGCGACAGTGAACAGCTTACCGCGTAACAGCTCACATATCAGAAGGATCAGGAGAAGGAGGAGGAGGAGGAGGAGGAGGAGGAGGCGCTCGATGACTGCAGCCCGACCCCGAGAGTAAGTACACAGTACCTTGTGCAAGCCAAAGGCGATGATGCTGCTGCTGCTGATGATGATGATGATGATGATGATGACGATGATGATGCTGATGATGATGATGATGATGATTCTGATGGTGATGATACTGATGATGTTGATGCTGGTGCTGCTGCTGATGATGATGGTGTTGATGATAACACTGATGATGCCCATGACGATGATGTTGACGATGGTGGTGTTGATGCTGATGACGATGGTGATGATGAAGATGATGATGAAAATTATGTTCATGATGGCATTGGCGATGCTGCTGACGACGACGATGATCAGATGATGCTGATGCTGATATTGATGATGTTGATGATGAGGACGATGATGATGATGATGATGATGATGATGATGATGCTGATGGTGATGGTGATGATGATGATGATGATGATGCTGATGATGATGATGATGATGCTGATGATGATGATGATGATCATCATGATCATGATCATGATGATGATGATGATGATGCTGCTGCTGCTGATGATGATGATGATGATGATGC